CCTTCTCTAATCACAAAAGCACAAAAAACATAAACATGGTTTATCTGATTCTGGTGTGGAGCTTTCTTTGTCTCTTCTGCGATTAATGGGCTCCGTGACCAACACGGCTCATAACTCATAACGGTAGCTGCTTCTACTGCTATTGGTTTAGGCTGAAGATGGAAAATTTCTTGAATTTGGGGTCATTTACTATTACACCCCGTATGTTTATTGTTTCACATAATTACTATGTCGTACGCTATAGTTTGGTTATTAAGACACCCCTACTTTCCAATGAGTGTATAAAAATTAGATACTTTTGACCCTCATGGTTATTACACCAAAATGATTAAAAGAAAATAAATAACCCAAATGGAAATTGAAATAATAAAAAATAAAAGATAAAAATTAATTTAATTAAATATAATTTTTATTATTATTATCTATTTTATTTTTATTTATTTTGGGTAAATTGCAGATAGGTAATAGGGGTGAGCATTCGGTTTATTCGGTAAAAAACCGAATCCAATAAATCGAGAATTTTAAAATCGAAATAAAAAATGAAAACCAAACTGAAATTGAATTACAATAAAACTGAAATAACCAACCAAAATTTTCAATTTGGTTTTTTGTTATTTTGGTCAAAAACTGAATTTAATTTATATATATAATATTATATATTATAACCTATATAATATATGTATATTATAATATATATAATGAAATTGAATTTCATTATAATACATTATATATAATATATTAATATATAAATATATAGCATATTATATATTACATATTGTATAATAAATTTTAGTTAATTTGGTTAACCGAATTTCTAAATCTAAAACCAAAACTGAAAACCGAAATTTCTAAAAACCAAATTAGCCAAAAACCGAAAAAACTGAAACCAAAATTTTTGGTTCGGTATTTCAATTTTAACCGAATAATGCTCATCCCTAGCTACCATGTACTTTGGGTACTCTACTTTAGGATCTAAAGTTTCAAATGTGTCACTTTAATTAATACTTGAGCTTTTAGAAAAATACTTTTAAGCATGGTTTTAGAAAACAACTTAGAAATGGAATCATTCTGGTCACCGATTTTTGGGTCGACGGTTCGACCATCCGATTCAAATGGACGGATTGTTCTGACAACAAAAATTAAAAAAAATATTAAAAAATGGGTCAATAGGTCAATATGTCGATGGTTCGACCACCCGAGTCAACAACTCATTGATCAATTCAACGGTTTTTAGCTAGAGACCGGGTTTAGGATAAAATGGAATTGGTTGCTTAGACGATTCCTAGGCCGAATGATCCAACCATCCGGGTCAATGGCGATTCGAAAACCGAGCTTTTTAAGTCCAACTCTGTTAAGCTAATGTCATGATGAGGGGTAAAATTATAAAAATAATCATGTTCTAACCACTTTTTTTCGCTATTCATCAATTTTCTACCTTTGGCCGTTGGACGCAAACCAACATAATAAGCATTCAAAAGTGAGATTTACCCCCAATGAACAGACAGAGGTGAGTTTACTTCCCCGTTGTTGGTTTGTGTTCAAAGTCCAAAAGTAGAAGAAGATGAATAGTGAAAAAAGAAAATCAGAACATTGGCATTTTCATAATTTTACCTCTTACTGTAACATTAGTTAATGGAATTGGACTTAAATGCATATTTATAAAAGTTCAAGTATTAAACATTTGAAAGTTCAAGTATTAAAATTTGTTTTTTTTTCCTTGTTTTTTTATTGTATTATTTCTAGAGTAAAATAATGTTTGGGGAGGATTTTATTTCTAAAATGATGATATGCAACTTTTACTAGTGTTTTCAAAATAATAATAACAAAAAAATCTTCAAATGGATATACAAACTGTTCCTAAGGCTGTATTTGGTTGCAGTGCAAATTTATTTGCACTAATACAAATGCATGGGAGTGCAAATGAAAAAAATAAATAAATAAATTTTTGTTTAATTTTGTTTTGGATTTTACTTTATTCTGCTTCATGTCTTAATTTACTTCATTTGCAATGCAATCAAACAAAATAGGCTAAAATTTGAAATAAAGATAAATCAGAATCTACACTCAAATCATTTGCACTGCCACAAGCTTCGCATCAGTGCAAATTTATTTGCATTGCAACCAAACACAGCCTAAGAGAAGGTGCATAAGTAAATTACTGATTGGGAAGTAGAGGGGGTGTCTTAGTACATGACCCTATAACATATTACCCTAAAACTTAGAAATCATTAGTTTAATTAATATTGTCAAATGAATATTTCCATGACTTCTTTGATATTTGATATTATATAAATAAAAAAACATATTTAATTGAAAAAAAAAACTCAAGCCACAAAATTGAGGAGAAAAGGGAAATTGTGGGAATTAAACACTGGTAGCATAAAAGAAGGCATACATGAAAGTATTCTTAATTGCCAATCCTCCTATGTTGCTAGAAGATGATGAATAACAAGTTTGAATTCTTATGTGATAATTGTTTTATTTTTCTTTGCAAGACAAAATCATATATATTGGTGAATACCCCTTAGCCCTAATTGTTTTTAAGTTTTAACAATGCTTATAATGTCGTTTTATTTTTTTTATTAACATGTATCATCACATAAGAATAGGGCATATCCCTCAAAACTCTTATATGCTTGGAGGGTCTTTACTTGGGTTGTGTTTGGTATCATGCTATTCAGTGTCCTTTTTGACTCCACATAGGCACCACATGGGCATTTGCAATGGTGGTTGGACAGATTTAAGTTTAAACTACTGTCTTAAAAATTGATTTAGAGGTTGACCTGTTTGTCCTCTGGGGCGACTAAGTGATTCAATTGGCTAGATTGAATGGGTTCACTTGTGATATTATATGTGGCATACATATCTATAAATACTACATGCATACAGACATATATTATTGATCACATAAAAACTATATGTAATATGTTCTACAAATCATGGTTTTCAAAACTAGACCGGACCAGATGGTCGGATCGGAAAAACCGGGAACCAATCACTTAATCGATTCTGTTTTCCCCTAAAACCGTTGATTTTGGTTAGCAAACCGTTGAACCGGCTGGTTAACTATTCGAATGATTTTGACCGTTTTTCATTTTTCTATTTTTTTTTTGTCAAAACGGGCTGACTGTCCAGTTTGAATGGTCGGACCAGTAACCGGACCCTTGATCGGTGGTTCGATCACCGGTTTGGTTTTAAAAACCATGCTACAAATAATATTGCATTTGAATGTGCTGAATAGATGGCTAGTTTCTTAATTTTTAATGTAAATGACTAGAGCACAAGCTTCTCAATTTACGTTTTCTTTAAAATATGTGTATATTAAAGCTATATATACATTAAAGAGGCTAAACAAATTCAAATAAAGAAATGTATTAATGGTAATAAGAAAATACATATTATAAAAGGTCATGAGTCCAAGTCTTTCTGTGAACATTTTGAAATTTTCATTCATCCAGTGATTTAAGCAGTTTTATGAAATCGGGACCGGTTCATTAGTTCTTTGGTCAAATTAGCTGGTTATCCGCTTATTTATAAGTCTCAATTTTGCAAGAAAAATGTACTAATATCGTTAATGATGGAAATTGCCAAACAAAGTGTAAGAAAACTGTAGAGAGCTATAGAAAATTGCTCTTAATTATGAGTGCTTTAATCATTTCTTATTACTTCAATTTGCAATAGATAACTTCTGATAGATCTTTTTTCAGTTTTTCCCATCGCTCATCTTAACATATACATTTTTGTTACATTCAATTTTTTTTTTTTTATAGAAATTTCCTTTTAGCTTAAATGGCATTCACCTATCACATAAGACTCCGAATACTCCCCTCATTTTACCCATTATGCTCTAATTTTATAGTTACCATATTCTTCAATCTCTCCCTAATTATGAATTATTGAACTAAAATAATAAAAGATATCAGATGATGTACCCTAATTTACGCTCTTAATATTATTTTATATATATCATATATTTTGTTTTTAGTCCTACTTATTTTAAAACTTTTTTTATTCCTAACATATTTGTCCATACACTCAATTTTAGATTTAATCCTTAGTCTCATCAATCAACAAAATGCCATCAATAAAAGACAAATACCATTAGGACCTCCTCTCCTGAAATATGTATAACATAAATCTAAAACATATATTATATGCCATGTAATATGAAACATCACATGTATATGTTTAATACTTTATATTTAAAGTCATAGACCTACTAAAAGGCTAAAACCAGGCCTGCCCTATAGACCTTATTTTTTATGTTTGTTCTCACGTCAAGGCTTTTAATTGAGGGACAGACGCGTAATTTAATGAAAACCGAGGTGCAATCGGGTGCTTCTGAGGGCACAACAATAAAAAGAAAAAAGAAAAAAAAAAAATCAAGCTTTCCCCAACCCCAACCCCAACCCCTGTTTTCCTTCTCTCTCTCTCTCTCTCTATCCTGATCTCTTTCTCTCATCTTCCAATTCCAAAAGGAGTTAATCCGCGTAAGCAGACTGCAACAATCAGTCCCATTTCATTTGTTTTTCCTCGCAGGTGTTATCAACTCGAGAAGGACAATTTCACATGGCCCAGTCCTCTGAACTGTTCCACTGCAATTGTCCAATCGCTTTTCTTTTTATTTTTTTTACCTTTTCCCCAAAAATATTTAAGCAGTTGATATTCTCATTTTGGAAGTCAACTTTCTAAAGAAGATTAGAGCGCAACAGAAGCATCCAGTACTTGAATTGAAACCCACGCAAATATAGATAGATCTCTGTCTGTCTCTCTCTCTCTCTCTCTCTGTCCAGGTGGCTCGCCGTTCGTCTCTTCCGTTCGGTTTACTCCTGCAGCGGTCGCCGGAGATTAGAGTGGCGAGGCGGTGTGGAAGCTGAGAGAAGAGAGCGGGAAGGGAAGGGAAGGGGATGGGGATCAAGGAAAAGGAAAAGAGAGGAGAATTGAATTGGATAGGGTTTGGGGGATTCTGAGTCGGGGACTCGGGAGAGAGAAAATAATTAATTTTATTTTATTTATTTGAAAGGAAAAAGTATTTAACGGAGAGGTTAACACTTTCCGTTCATTTCGTACACGAACCGGATGCACAACGTATTTGAACACGTGGCAAAATTCTGTTGGAGATGTAGCGCTGGATACAGCTAGTAGGGAACCGGCAGATCCGGACTTCAGACCGGTCCGAGTCCTGACATCCTTAACGGATATTTAAACCTCTTCACCCCCCCTCGCATGGAAACGGAAGAAGCCATTGGAGCTGCAGCCATGGCGGCCATTCAACCTCCAGTAAACAACCCTTCTCTCTCCACATATCTCCAAGACCTTCACCAGACGCCCCACAAGCTTAAAAGAAGAATGTTTGCGACATGGACTCCAGACCAGGAACTCAACCAAGTAAGGTTGAGGTCAGGAGCAGACATGAAAAGAAAGCTCCAGTGGTACGACTTGGTAGGCCTCGGTGTCGGAGGAATGCTGGGCGTTGGAGTTTTCGTCACAACTGGTCAAGTAGCAGCCAGGATCTCCGGTCCTGCTGTCTTTATTTCTTATATCATTGCCGGAGTATCAGCTCTCCTTTCTTCCTTGTGTTATACGGAATTCTCTATTCAGATTCCGGTCGCCGGTGGCGCCTTTAGCTATCTGCGAATAACCTTTGGTATGGATACGATCGTGCACAGTGAAACTCTTGCGTTGCGTTTTTCTCATCTTTTCAGTTTCTTTTATGAGTTTGTTGGATTGGACAAGCTGATTTGTTGCTCTTCTTATTCTTCTGTTATTTTCTGTTCCTGTTGAATTGGTGTAGGGGAGTTCGTGGGTTACTTCGCTGGAGCTAATATACTAATGGAGTATGTCTTGTCAAACGCCGCCGTGGCGAGAAGTTTCACGGCGTATCTATCTTGTACAGTGGGAGCAGTTCATCCGGATTCTTGGAGACTTAAAGTGGGTGGATTAGCAGAGGGTTATAATAGACTGGATTTCACAGCTGTTGTTGTTATTCTTCTTCTTACATTCTGTCTATGCTATAGGTTTGATCCCTAATCCCTCACAACCCTTCTGGTTCTTTTCTTTTTCTTTGGTTATTTTATGTTCTTATTTGCTTTTCTGGCGCTTCTTGTCAGACAAGTGGGTTCCTCAATTCTTTCTTCATCTATGGATTTATTGATTTTGGAACTGCATGGCTTTGTTAGTTCAGTCATTGAACGATGAATGGATTGTGTGAGTGATGGTTTTGTCTTTTGGATTGCAGCACCAAGGAAAGTTCTATGTTTAACCTCGTTATGACAGTGTTTCATGTGATCTTCTTCGGATTCATTATTATTTCTGGGTTCTACATTGGGAGTGCCAAGAATCTGATACACCCAGATGGATTAACTCCTTTTGGCGTTAGGGGTGTTCTTGATGGAGCGGCCATAGTTTATTTCAGCTATATTGGCTACGACACTGTATCAACCTTGGCAGAAGAGATAAAGAACCCTCAGAAGAACCTCCCAGTGGGAATTGTTGGGTCTGTTGTCATCGTTTTGGCACTTTATTGTCTCATGGCCTTGTCCTTGTGCGTGATGATCCCTTACAATGAGGTAAGTTCTCACAGGATTCAACTTTCATAAATTTATTCAGGCATGGAGATTACAATATCAGATTCCACAAGAACATTACTAGAGGTGGGCTTAGGAAAAAGTAGTAAAACTAGGACGGGCGATCTCCCTTTGGCTTTTGGTGCACTGTCAGTCCGTCACTAAGAAAAGGGCATCTTTTTCTTGATTCGCAGATATCGGATACAGAAGCATCATTCGTTTTGGCTTTCAGAAAGATGGCTGGTTGGGAATGGGCAAGCAATGTTGTTGGCGCTGGTGCAAGCTTGGGAATCGTTGCTTCTCTCCTGGTGGCTATGCTAGGCCAAGCCAGATACCTTTGTGTTATTGGAAGGGCTAGGCTCGTGCCCATCTGGTTGGCCAAGGTGCACCCTTCTACAGGCACCCCTTTGAATGCCACCCTCTCCTTAGGTAAGGAATATTGGATTTTCTGTAACCATTCATATTGATTTCCTCTCCCCATTTAAGAATAGAATAAGGCAGCTGGGTTTTAGTATTAAATGATTTTTTTTAGGTTCCCATTTGACAATATAATTTCTATAGATAATCAGCTAGGCCTTATCTATTTTTTTCCCCTTTTTAATTTACTGTATGTATGATCAGAAGGAACGGATTAATTCATTTTGTTTTTTTTCAGAATCACCGGTATGTATGATGTAAGGTCAGGCTTCTAAAACAAGAATATACTCTTCTTATCACCAAAAATCTCGTTTGTTTGTCCTTTGGTTTCCCTTTTGCCGAGTGACACAAAAAGAAATAATATTGCACATCGTTAGTGGGAAGTTGCTGATTAAAATAAAAGAAAAAGAAGGAATAAACAAAGAAAGTGAGGCCATGAATCTTTTTCTTTCTGTGGCGCAGGGATGTGCACGGCATCAATTGCACTCTTCACAGAACTTGAAATAGTGCTAGAGATGATTTCCATCGGCACACTCCTGGTCTTCTATCTGGTGGGGAACGCTCTGATCTATCGTCGGTATGTTGTCATTGGAAACAACCATCCACTCCCCACTCTCGTCTACCTGTTGCTCCTCTCATCAAGTTCAATTGGCTTCTCCATGTCATGGAAGTTCAAGGAACAATGGTGGGGCTTGGCCTTATTTAGTGGGACTCTGATTGCCATTACTGCCGTCTTCCACTACATGATCTCCCGCAGTGGCCAACCCAGCGAATGGTCAGTTCCACTTATGCCATGGCCGGCTTCTGCGTCAATCTTCCTCAATGTATTTCTCATGACTACGCTAAACATAAGGGCTTTCCAAAGGTTTGGAATATGGGCCTGTCTTGTCACCTTGTTCTATGTACTATATGGTGTTCATTCAACGTACCGTGCAGAAGAAATGGGGACTGAGGATGATGGAATAAACACAATCTCATCAGTACAACAAACCAAGCTGGAAATCCAGTTGGTTTAATCAAAAGGTGTTATTAGGACCTTTCTTTCTTTCTTTGTCTCCCTTCTTTTACTTTTTCCAGTTTTGATCCTGTCAATACAGTGTAGGGCTCGGCTCATGGAAGTCATACTACGCAGTCCCCCCCCCAATAAAAAAAAAAAAAAAAAAAAGAATGTAGAATCAGTGAACAAGCATAAAACACCCAAATAAAGGTACAGAGAATGGGAAAAAGAAGGGGAAAGGGATAGCTTTTTTTTATATCTTACATATCCTTTTTTTAGTTTTTGTTTTCTTGCTTTTTCAGTTTTTCTGCTTTCCTTTTCCCACTTTGTACTCTCTGTTGTCACTATGTAACTGTAACCATAACCATATTTCATGGTGAAACCACCACTATTCCTTGCAACAGAATGTGAATTTATATTGTGATGAAGAAGCGAAACCGCTTTTTGATAACTGGTGAAGTTGATTGATCAAGCTGTTGTTTTTGTCCTCTATTAAATATCAAGCACATTGAGACAAGGCTGTTTGGGTGGTTTCAACGAGAGTGGTCGTTGTTGGATTGTGCTACTTGCTAGTGCTGTCCCTATTGACGCAGTACTAATCTAGTTATCTGATTCTGATGATTAAAATATCTTGCAGACCAGACTTGAGATCCATAAAATGAACACCCAATATGTGAATGCGATGCTGTTGATGCAGATTCTTTGTTGGGTGGGTTTCGTTGGTGATGAACTAAAGGTCAAAGAAAAGGACTTCCTTAGTTGGATATGTAAGGAATCATTTTTCTTTTGGCTGAGAGGGGAGGGAGAGTGTAGACCATTGGTTTGTTGGTTCATTGGATAGGATCATAGAGTGTGGCAATACTGAATCTCATCTCATCTAAACTTGTTGACAGTTGACTAGCTATGGCTACATATATAGCTATATATTCCCTTTTAATAAAAATAAAAATAAATAAATGGGACCCACCAAATACTTAGCCCAGCCTACCCTAGTAGAGGGGTTCCACTGCCATGTGATAGTGTAGCATTAGAGGAGGAGAGGCTACAGGCATGCCATGTGGCTTGTTACTTGGTCCAGCCATTCATTCTATAACAAGAACCACATTCTATATCTGGTTAAGAAGTGGATACATCAACTAGTACTCCACGGAATTCCATATTCTGTTTAGTGTTTACTCGTAATACCATGGCCCTTCCAATCTCCAAATGGTCACCATCCCATTAATATTTCAACCATGTTTAACACCTGCCAAGTGATGGAACATTCTATAAATAGACCATCACTGTGTTGTGTTTGTGTGAGACTAATGAGTTTTATGGACATAGATTAAAAAAAAAAAATCAGTGCATATAAAAATATACACATTTCATGAATTTCTACGAGAGTTGGGGTGAATGTTGGAAGCGAGTAAGAATACATTTACATTCCTTGTGTAAGAGCCATCTGACATCTGGGGCTGACAAGCATATAAGAACAAGAAGCATGGACCTAAGCGGGTTTCTTTGTGTAAGAAAGTGCCTAAGGAAGGTTAGGTCGTATGCACTGCATCCTTCTCAACACCCCCCAAATAGCTGGGACCAACATGGAGTTATGGCATTTTGTTTTCATTCTCTCTCTCTCTCTCTCTCTCATGGTGTGCTAATTAGTGGTATTGTGTTCGATAATTGGATCGAATACAATGAACAAAGAACATTCCCACAATCCACCATCTTTGCTGGCTGGACAATGGAGCTGCAGAGAGAATTGATACCCATTAATTTTAGATGCCATTTTCATTCTGCATGTATTACGACTGCGTCTTAGAGAAAAAAAANAAAAAAAAAAAAAAAAAAAAAAAAAAAAAAAAAAAAAATTAAGAAGTATGAGAAGTATACATTGTTGACAGGTAAGTACGAAAGATAACAACAATAAAGTAGGCCCTTAATATTTTACAAAGATATTGTTTTACTATTGATACGATGATACTGAAAAGACATTATATGGGATATACTTGTAACCAATCAACTGTTTTCATAAAAAGTGATTACCCAATCAGCTGCTATTCATCTAAATTCACATGGGTTTTGATTGATCAAATCTCTTCCCTGTATATCTTTCTAGCATTATAGATTTACCCAATAAATATATTTTTGGATGGTTATCTTTGTTTTTCTTTTGGGTTCGATAAAGATTTAATCAGAGGTTCAATGGATATGGGCACAAAACAGAATGGCAAAACAGGACTTGTGTGGCTGACCCCATATAGTTGGGACAAGGTTTAGATGATGATAATGATTTGATCACTCACTAGTGAGGGGATAAGTTTTGCTGTTTGAAAAAAAAAAAATACTTGGGCCGGCAATTTTGAAGTTTCATGTGTCATTATCATCGAAACCTCATCCCACTCAGTAACATGTCATGTGTGTTAAACTTCAAAATAGTCCAAGCTTTTTTTTGGATAAAAGACTACATATCCTAAGTTTTGTAAATAGACTTATATATACCTTGTGGGGTGTACTTAGTACTCATTGAACTTAAACATACCCTCATTTCTTCTTCCATTTCATGAAACCGTTTTAATATTTTAAAAATCCTATTTTACCCTTTGAAAATACTACTCTTTCAAAACAATATTTCTTGATCTGCTTCTGACTTTCTGCAACTGCAATTACAACAGTTTTCAGATTAAGATAGAAGGCTAGTAGATGGATAAAGTAATAGAGAGGGGGAAGATTAAAATAGGGAACTGGTGGTTGAGGGTAACAGCAGAAATGCAATTCAGTGATGATGGTGAGTTGCAAGTTTAAGGAACAGAGAAGCAAGAAGAGGGAAGAGGAAGAAGAGAGGGGGAGAAAGAGAGAGGCAGCGAGAAAAGAGGAGGTGTGGCAATGAGCTGTTTTTGTTTTCATTGCCAGCTCTGTTATGTTCAGTGGTGGCAATGGTGATGTTTCTCTGAGGCAAAAACAACATATGGGTCTTTTTGGTTCTTTTAGAAAATTTAAAGTTCTGATTAAGGGTGAAAATGTCTTTTTATAAACTAAGGTATACTTGAGTCAATTTATGAAAACTTAGGGTATGTTTTAGGTATTTTATTCTTTTTATTTTTCCTCCTCTTTTTTTCTCTAAAGAGCCAAGCTTTTCTCACGAGGGAGGTGATGAAAATCCTATAATTTACAAGCTAGCCATTTAGCATCTTTATGAATAATTGACAATTTAAGGAACAAAATGAAGCATGAAATGAAATTATGTTTTTCTTAATACTTCGAAAGCATACTACATCAAGTGGATTCTTTGGCGGAAATGCTAATGAAAATAGAGATGCACATGCACTTGTTTCCTCTCTCAAACGTTCTAATCATTTGTATTAAGACGTTATTATTTCATTTGTATTAGGACGACAATTTTATGTTGGGTAATGTATGAACAGAATAAATATGTACGGACTAAGGGTTGAAAATGGACAACAGAGATGAAATTGGGAGGAAGAACGGACAGCAGACAAACTGCATCACATTCTCCCTTCAGTGACAGTGAATCTTGCAGTGTTTATTTGTACTCATCTCTTTTATTATCTTCAACAATAAGGAAAGATGTCTATGGGAGAATTCTTCATGTGACAAAGGACAATTAATAGCCACATACCTCGGTGCCTGGTATAAAACAGCTGTAAGGCCAACTATATTGTATGGAATAGAGTGTTGGGCATATCAAAAAAAAGTGGCAGAAATGCAAATGCATGGATGGATGAATGGTAAAACTAGTAAGGACGAGTTTAGAAATAAAATGATCCCAAGGAACCTAAGAATAACTCTAATAAGTGATAAAATAAGAAAAAGTAGATTGAAATGGTTTTGTCACATGCACAGAAGACCATCTACAGCACCTGCTAAGTTAATCTGTCACAAGTGAAGGAGCTAGAAGAGTTAGAGTCAGACTGAAAAGGACTCCGCTGGATGCAATATGAAATAATTTTAAGTGCCCATAATTTAACAATGAATATGACACTGAACATAATGCAATGGCAAAACAGGATTTATGTAACCTGACCCCATATAGTTGGGACAAGGCTTAGGAGATGATGATCCCCAGGTGCCTGGTTTCTAATAAAAATATATCCCCTTTATAACTTGTAATAATACAAAGAAATTAACTTGTGCCAAACACACATACACACACACAAAAGAATGCTGGTAGGCATAACAGTTAAAACACTCAACAGAAACACAAAGTAACTTAACTCTCAGACAAAGGACTTCATGATAATATAAGAATAATCACATGGCTGAGTTGGCAATACAGATTTATCTACAGCCATTGGACTTTGGACTATGTGTTAGTCCATCATGAAGAACGTAGAGTAAGGATGGACACAGGACATTGCAACCAAACAAGCTGGTGCTTTTTCAACAGAGGTTGGATCAGGGATCACTCTTTCTATTGAAATTTTCACCTCCTCTTGATTTTGTGAAGAGGCTTATCAAGTGTATGCCAACAACAAACAACCAGAGTATGAGCATGCAAATGTAGATAGACGGCAAGTTTCACTCCTTACCGAAAAAAAGTAGAGAGATCTATCATTTTCAATTTAATAACGCATTGCACCTAAAAGAAAGGCAAGGAGAATTTCAGTTAAAGCAACACAAGGAGGAAGGACCGTTCTCCTACTCAAATGAATTAGTAAAATCTACTGATGCCTCGTACAAATAAATGGCAATAAGGAATATCTTTCTTAATAAGAGACAGATATTTGGGGCATACCAATTCAGAATGATTATTGAATCCTTATAATTAAAAGAATGTTGAGTTTTAAGAAACATAACCTATGGTTTAAGCAAGGAGTTTTGAGTATTTCTGTAAGATCCGTAGTTAAGGTGTCAGCACCACTAAAATATCATTGCCACCCACCTTACCTCACTTGGACATTGTTTTTCCCCTCCTGATTCATTAAATTCACATGCATCAGAATAGAAACCAACCTGTTAGTAGTCTTATTAATACAAAATTATGATTACACTGAAAAACCACCTTACACTTTGTGCCAATACATTTGATAACAATTTATGTCCACCAAACCGATAAAAGTGTTAAGTACTTAAAGATGTGCCTATATTCTACACTATTATATCAACCATAATTAATGGAGCAAACATTCAAACAAGGTCAACAGTAGTTGGTTTACATGTAAACCACTGACCCATTTATATTTCCAAACAAGGCTTTAAAACCTCAGTGATGAATGGATCAAAGAGTTTTTTGTAATAAAGTAAAATTTTGTTAAAAATAAAACTATCCAAAGAAAATAGGCAAAATGCACATTCCAATTTCTTCATCCCCAAAAATCACAAAATATACCCATCAATAACTGCAAACGCTGCAGAAATCCAAAAAACAATATACAAGTTCACCAAATCTAATCTGCATTCCCCACTTCAAACACAACCCTACCAGTCTTTTACCATTACCCCCCACCCTTCTCCAGATCAAGGTTCAAAGTATCAACACTCTCAATATGAAAATTTAACTTGTCAGAAGTTTCAATCAATTGATACTCTTTTATTTTTTATCTTTCTTATTTGATATTATAACAGTGGGTACATCTAGTCAAAATTTAACACACAAAATAATTAAAATAAACAAATTCCTGTTTCTTAGCATATCAATATTTTGAACCTTGCTCCATATGCTCTCCAAGGAGTGTATCAATTTGGATGAACATACTAAGGTTCTTCTGACCATTGACCACTTTTTCTTATCCAAAGTAAACTTTGGTGTTGCTGATTTGTCCTGTTATTTCATAAGAGGGGAGGGACACAACCTGAATAATTAGTTATTGTCTCTATAATTTCTTCAGTAAGCTGATTTCAATAAAATTGCATATGGAAAGCAGTCATCACTTGGTAGCAACAGAAAAATGCTTGAAAACTAAAGGGAAAATTAGAAAGTGTACTATACTATTTTGATAAATATGTTCTTAGCCAACCTCAAATTGTTGGAACAAGGCTCTATGTTGATAATTTTTAATAAATGCATTTGTTTATAATTAAGGTGAGATGATTGTATTAAGAATGCCAAGATTGTAAAAGGCCCCTAGACATGGTTTTGTATGGTTAATGAGTTAGAACCATGTGCAAGATATAAATGCATATGCCTCTATCATCAAATGTAAACCTACAAGTCACATAGAATGATTCTCCTCCTCCAGGACCAAAAAGATACAGCACTTAAAGTAAGATATGGGGTCATAATTGGTTTTTAGATGTAAAAACTCAGTAAATCTTTTTACTTTATTTTTTTCTTTAACAATATTTCCCAAGTTTTACCTAGTTTCGTAGTTTTATATACAATTCAGCATACATATTAATCAGAAAAATAGCATTTTTCTTTATTAATAACATTAAATTTCCTCTCAAAAGATGGAAAATCACCATATCTAGGAAAATAATATTCCAATTATATTAATTACAATACTTTAAAAATGATTATAATTTTATATGATAAAATTTAAGACAGTCAAAGAGTAAGTAAAAGAGAAAAAGAATAAGGGTGGAGCTGCAGTTTTTTTTAATGTGTGAGAGAGAGTATGAAAAAAAAGGAAAGAAACCTCTGTATTAGAAATTCTTTGTTTTTCTTCTCCATTTCCTCTTCTCAAAACCCTTGGATCTTTTAAATTTCAATAGTAAAACTTTAAAACAAAGTATAATTCACACACACACACACACTCGCACACACACACACACACACACACACACACACACGTATAGAATCTAGTAGCATACATACTACTAAGATGTAGCAATATGCATGATATTGTAATAAGGTTCCAGCCTTGTTATTTTAGTCGCCTAGGTGGACCTAGTTTCTATAAACAAGGCATTTAGGTATGGCACCCAGCCAAGGGCGCCTAGGCGGCACTATGACAACTATTCTCTTAGTTTATCCTAACACCATAGAACGTACTGAAGCAAGCCTCCAATTTCTCCCAAATTTATTGTTATTCTTTCCACCTTCTTTGTGTAGTCTGAACTGAAGAATCTATTAAAAAAGAATCCTTCCCTTCAGGATATTCCACATCAAGTTATATTAAAAAAATCTAGAACCTGATTAGTGCACCCCACCCTTACAAAAAAGTTCATCGAATACATTTCTCCATTCTTGGAGGCTTTTCAAGTAGGAGTTGAGATCTTTCCTGCCTACACATGCCTAATCCCAGGCATCTTCTAATAGCCTAAGTTGCACTATAGTATAGACCATTGTCCCTGGTTGCTATTGACCATTCCACACCATCCTTGCTTTTAGTGCTCATCTTCCTCAGCTTCCTGATGAAAATCCGGTTTATTGCCAAGTGCCAACACTGAAAAAGAAGTCAATTTTAAGCACAGCAGATTTTTCCAATCTCCTTGAGATCAGTGGGCCTCTAAGCCCTCACCATTCTGTCCAACTCTAACAAATGATCCAATGGAGACTCATAACCACCTGATTCAGATTCCTCACATGCATGCGAACTCCCCATCTCAATAGCTATTGCATCTTCATCAGCTGAGACCCTCTTAAACCACTGACTCTCCTCCCCTTCAACAGCCCATGACCCACCCCTATTTGAGTGGTGTTTAACAACATGGTAGGTTTTGTTTTTTGAAAAAAAAAACTGTCACATCAGCAAAATTATGTTGTTTTTTTGCTGAATTGGCAGTTGTTTTTGTTTTCAAAAACAGAACCATGTTGTTGAACACAACACCCCCTAAGTCTCCCATTATTACCTTAATGAACTGAGATGAAAAATTGGTGCTTGGGTCCTTGGTCATCAGAAACTTAACTCTCTAGTGTGGGAAGTCCACAAATCCCATGGTAAGAACTCTAAAAAGCCAAAAATGAACCATAACAAACAGTAGAAAATCACTAATAAAACATTTCTATCAATCAACAACTAAAGGAGAAACCAACAAGGCTTTGCTAGATTCTGAGAATATTTATCATCTTATTGTCTGTGTCCCCAATCAAGTGCTCTATTGGCCTCATGAGATTGCTCCAAACTGCAGTATTCTTCTTAGATATGAGAAGGTCCAAGATCCTATACTTCCCAAACTAAACTGAACTCTCATTTAACATCAAATTCTTTATACCTCCACAAGATTAACTGCCAGCAGAAATCAATACCCAAGTCCGAAACAAATGCCTGAAAAATCTTTATCAAAACCACCTTCCTATGCCTCCTACATCATCATTGTCATCTAACCCTTGTCCCAACTATGGGGTCAGCTTCCTATGCTTCCATGACTGAAATAACAGAAACAGTGGACGGCCCTGTCAGATACACAAAGCATCCTGATGCCATATAATACTTGATAGCAGAATTATCCATC